CCTTCTCCCCTACCCCGAAGATGACCACTCTTCGGGTTCTGCTTCACGTCGCTGCTCAGCGTGACTACGAGCTCCACTCTCTTGACTTCAGCACTGCTTTCCTACAGGGCAGCCTGCACGAGGAGATCTGGCTGCGCCGCCCACCTGGCTTCACTGTGTCATTTCCTGCAGGTACCCAGTGGAGCCTCCGGCGGCCAGTCTACGGTCTCCGCCAGGCGCCTCGCGAGTGGCACGACACACTGAGGACGACTCTTGCGGCTCTTGGGTTTGCTCCTTCGACTGCTGACCCGTCGCTGTTTCTACGCACCGACACTTCGCTGCCGCCGTTCTACATCCTCGTGTACGTCGACGACTTGGTCTTTGCCACTGCTGACACTGAGGGACTGGCCCTAGTGAAGTCGGAGCTGCAGAAGAGACACACGTGCACAGACCTGGGTGAGCTGCGCAGCTATCTTGGCTTGCATATCACCCGGCTAGAGCACGGCGCACCATTACCTTGACTCAGTCACACATGGTGCAGCAGGTCCTTCAGCGCTTCGACTTCCAGTACTCCTCGCCACAGTCCACTCCTCTGCCTACCGGTCACTCGCTCTCAGCTCCACCTTCGGACGAGTCCGTAGATCCGAGTGGCCCGTATCCAGAGCTTGTGGGCTGCCTCATGTACCTGATGACCTGCACTCAACCTGCCCTTGCCTACCCTCTTAGCATCCTGGCACGCTACTTTGCGCCCGGGAGACACCTACCAGAGCACTGGAAGGCCGCTAAGAGGCTGATGCGCTACTTGTGCAGTACGTCGGGCATGGGGCTCGTGCTTGGAGGACGGGGTCCAGTTGTCCTCAATGGACACGCAGACGCCTCTTGGGTTGACGACTTGGCTACGCAGCGGTCGTCACAGGGTTACACTTTCAGCCTTGGCTCCGGCTCTGTTTCTTGGCGGTCTACCCGCTCGTCTTCTGTTCTCAGTTCCAGTTGTGAGGCTGAGATCTACGCAGGGGCCATGGCTGCACAGGAGTTACGCTGGCTCACCTACCTGCTGACAGACTTGGGAGAGCCGCCTCGTTCTCCTCCAGTTCTGTACGTCGACAACAAGGCCATGATTGCCTTGTGTCAGGAGCACAGACTGGAGCACAGGACGAAGCAAATCGCTCTGCATTACTTCCTTGCTCGTGAGTTGCAGCAGCGTGGTCAGCTTCGTCTTGTTTACGTGGCCTCTCGGGCCAACACTGCTTATATCTTCACCAAGGCACTTCATCCCTGTGATCATCAGCGTTTCTGTTTTGTTCTAGGCCTTATGCCTACTTGGCCTCACTTGCTCACTTCTTGACTTTGCATGTACTTCTATCTATATACTTATACCTGCATGCTTACACTTGCTAGGTTTTGATCACTGTACTGCTTGTTCTGCATTATATAACTCTGCATGTGAACTGGCATTGTGGCCATTTGCTTGTGCTCAGAGTGTGTGGTGATTTCGTGATCCACCCTGAGCTTGCTTTGCTTTTCTTGACTGGTCTTGTGACCTCTTGTTCTCCCCCACTTTGCCTATGGGGGTGTGTCAAACTTATATGTTGCATGTTGTGTAGGCTGTAGAGGGGTAGCCTATATGGGGTACAACCCAATTAGGGTTTGCTACTTGTACTCCTGCATGCTGCTAGTTCATCCATTCTCGCTTACTGTTTCTGACATTAGGGTCACTCACCACTTGACTGGTGGTTTCGCCATCTTCGAAGGGCGACTCCTGACGCGCTTCACCTCGCGCCTGGCGTAGCTCGTTGTTTTCTTCACTTAGTTTCACCACTTCCGTCGTTAACGCCTTCATGCCTGCCGACATTTCTGCCACTTGCTGCATAAGTTTGTTGAACGCCTCCTGGTCCATGAGTCGCAAGCTACGTCTAGAGGGCAACTGGGTATCCGTGACTATCCGGCAACAGTGCAAGCACAAAAGCTCTTGAAGTCAGGCAAGTTTAATTTAATAAATTTTGCAGCCAACCGCTTTGCAGCCCACTGTGCCAGTCACACCCGTACCTCCAAACTACCCTCGAAAAGCGGGGTGAACTAGGAAAGTAGCTATGATACCAGGTGTTATGAGTTGTAGAACAGAGTTGCGCGGAAAACGAATAACGAAGCTGTGACTCAATGAACTGTCGATATAATGAAAGGCACGCGATTATATAGCGGGTCAACCTAGCTAGGCTGGAACCTCGGGAACACGAGGTTGGGTGCAGGTTGGGCAAAGGAAAGCCAAAGGCGACACGAGGTTGCTTCGGCAGCAAGCAAACCGGCCGAACGTGCACTTCCAAAAGTTGGGGTTGTCTGCGGTTGAGTCAGGGCTCTTGCTAACTTTTAAGCCCGTCTAACGTTTTTGGTAAAAACAAAAAAAAATCTTATGACCCTCATACATAGGATTCTTGGTGGTCTTAATGTCAGACAAAAGTTACAGCTTCATCTGACTCTTCAGACGAAATTTAGAGTGATCAGACAGTAGTTAATTTATATAGCACTATATTGAGTATAGTCTACAGATTATCAATCTAACTATTCTATAGATTATCATACAAGCACAAAGGCCTTATGTAATACTGTCTTAAGCACTAACAATCAAGAATCTAGGCTTTGCTCACTATCACTACCATCATAATAATCCTCCTCGTCGACACTTTCTAGCTCTGAAGTTGTATGCTCCTTGCCGTTGTTAGCCCTTCTTTGCCATGGGCCCAACTCCTCTTCTAGCCTGGCTGCTTCTTCTGCAGCTGCTGCTTCACGAGCGGCCTCCTCTGTTGCTGCTGCTGCTGTTGCTGCCGCTTGTTTTGCGGCCAGCATCACAAGGGTCTTCTTCCGCTTCACGGGCCTTTGCGCATGCACCATCACCACCTCCTTGGCTGGACGTCTCTTCTTCGCACCTCTCCACAGCGCTACAAGGGCGGGCCAGTCAGGGTCGTACTTCAGCAGGGAGATGGCCATCAGGTCGCCAAGCTTAGCGTCGTTGAGATTGCCACGCAGCCAGCTCTTAATGACGTTATGGCGGGAGAAACCCCGCTCGCACTCCACGGTGCTCAGGGGCAGAACAACGACCGCCATCCAAAGGCAGAACAGAACTCCTCAGGTACCCCGGGAGAACCACGCCTAGCGCTGTCTGTTGACTCGAGGGCGCCACGCTCGGATAGCATGGAGTGGTGTATCACATGAGGCAGTAACAACAGGGCACTCTAGACGGGACGGGAACAAGCTAAAGGGAAGAGAGGTGAGCCACGGGCTAGGCGTCAAGGATTGAAAGGCAGAACAAGGTTGTCAAAGAAAGGCTTGGAAAAGAAAGGAAGGGACCATCACGTTACGAACCGCGCCTCTCTCACGAGGGTTTCACGCAAGTGCGAGGGTGGGTGCATGCTTTGTTTGTTGTGCACCGACTGTCCTTGCACTCTGCCTGCGGGGGGGGGGGGGGACAACAGCCAGGCAGCGGCGCCGACAACAGCTACAAGACAGATGCGTGGCAGCACCTGAGTCAGATGCGGAACGCGCTGGCAGGAAGAATCCAAAATTGACCCCCGTGCCCTCACGCAAAAGTCATTACGCGTGCCTGTACAGACAACATATCGCTGCTCCTATGGCCAAATGGGCTACTTTGGCGCTTTCAGACGAAACCATATGACGTGACGATACATGATCTCATATGAGCCATACGGTATGAATGAACTATACAATTTGAATCTGAAACCTAGACCAACAGACTAAAATAGTCTGATAACGAGAGCCCTGGGTTGAGTAAACCCCAGTAAGGAAAAGGGTTTTTCTTACAGTGACGACAAGAAATGAAAAAAAAAATCCTTCCAAAACTGCATGATCAACAATTCATATTGGTACAGAAATTGCGACTTCCTCTAGTAGGGTTTCAACCTACTAGAGAGAGATCATATATGATACAACTAATTCTGATACGGTACATCACGTAGTGATTGGACCCGATGTAAAAATTATCCCAGGAAAAATGCCCCTTATCAATTCCTCCATCTCGTACGAGAAAGTTCCAACCTTTTTGAGACACGTTAGGCCCTTCAGCCACTTCATGCCTGATGCAGTGATTCTAGCATTCCACAGTGCGAGCGTCTCCAAGTGTTTCATATTCCTCAGGTGCTTTAAGTCCGAGTCCGTCACACCTGGAGGCACAGCAAATACCTTGAGAGATGCAAGGGTAGTCAGATGCTGCAGCCCATCTTCCATCACCCCACTACCGTTCAGTGTGAGGCACTGCAGTGATGCCATTTTGCCCACGTGCACCATGCTGGCAGACGTGACGGACGCACATCCACTCATGCACAGTGCCGTGAGGCTAGATAGCTCCTGCAGCCTAGCCACTCCCGCGTCTGTGATATTGGTGTTGCTAACCACAAGGGTGCGCAGGCTCTTCAGGCAGCTGATACCCTCCAGAGCGGCATCAGTTGTGCCGGGGGAGCCCAGTTCCAGACGGAGCAGGCCTGCAAGGGAGTACATCTTCCTCATGCCTGCTGCAGTGAAGCCCGAGGACGCTTTGAGGTTGACGGATGTGAGGGAGTGCAAGGAGGCAAGGCGGGTGAGAGCAGTGTTGGTGAGGCAGGAGATGCCGCTGAGGTCCATTTCCTTCTGCTCTCCTACTGCTGCCGCCCACAGGGCGAGCATTGCCTGCAGCCAGGGCAGACAAAGGCAGACACGCGTGATGGAGGACAACAAAGGGTACTTCCAATCCAGGTGCAGGAGACGGTGGTTCTGGCGTGCATGTACCTTCCATCAACGATGGAAAGGGTGTGTTTGCACGCCATGCCACCAGTGTCTTTAGTGCCAGTGGCGGAAAAAAGTATTGCTGGAAAGCACGGGAGTCAACTCATTGAGCCACTCACCTCCCATATCCTCTTTCCTTCGGCACTCTTCTTCTCCAGCTTCGTCACTCTCCATCCTGTCACATCCACCCTGCCTTTTAGCTCTTGCCATTCAGCCTCCCATTCTGTATCGTCCATTGCGTGCCGCTGTTCATGAGAAGCGGGCGAATCGACCGGAGCTGCACCTCCGCAAGCAGCAGCATCCGCAGAACAATGTATCGCCTCGCCCCCCTTTTCCGACACCTTCCTCTTTTTCCCCTCGCGCCTCTCCGCATCTGCATGCTCCCTCGCACTGCCGTCGCTGCGCTCAGCGCGCCCCTTCTTGCGCGCCGCGTCCCTCCACTCCGCCACTGCCAGCTCCACGTCGTTCATCCGCGCCTCAGTGCGCACCGCCGTCCCCGCACGTCCGCTATCTCCGCCGCCTGCCGCGTACTCAACGCCCTCGCCTCGCTCACCCCGTCCCTCGCCTCCCCTCTCACTTGCTCAACAAGGCGCCTCATTTCGTCCACCTCTCGCTTCAGAGCTGCCATGGCCTCGCCTTGTTTCTTTACCTGCGCTTCTAACTCCTTCGCTCGCTCCTTCAAGCCTGCGCTTATCTCCCTCATCTCGTGCGCCCTCTCCGCTGCTTGTACTTTCACAACCACTCCGTTTAGCCTCAGCTCCATGCCTCCCCCCGCCATCGCCAGTTTAAAGCTGCGATCGCGCAACGATCTCAAGCTAGAAAGTGCTCGTACGAGAAAAGTTGGAAGGCTGGATCGTAGACTACGCTGGCTGTTGGGAATGCAATCGTGTGGAGTGTTGGCCTGATCTGAACGCTTTCCCTGAAATGTGAAAACCTGTTCCGATCTTGAAGCAAGCTCCCAGGTTTCGGCTCGGACATCACCAACATTAAAGCCCGCGCCTAGAGTAGTAACAACGTAGGCTTCGGTTCGGAAGTCCCTTGTTCGGAAGATCGGGCGGGGCGAAAATGAAACAGTTGATGAGGGTTTTCCCGCTCAGAAAAATGGTGTGAGATTTTCGTTAGACCATCTGCCAGTTCATCGCAATGTTCCATGCCCGCAAGTTCGTTTCACCGGACTACATGCACGTCCCACCCATCCCAACCCAACTTCGCCAAACACTCCTTTCGAGTCCGAAATCGGTGCCCTCTCAACCAGACTCTCTCGTTCGTACTTCGAATCGAACACAATTTGTCCCTCGTCAAACACATTCACGACTTTCTTCCATCGCGATTCGCCACTGCTTCCTCTGCCCATATCTCCCTCACTTGCAATGTCGTCCCATATACTCTTTCTAGTACGTCGATCTCTTCACTTCTTAGCATTAGAACACTCCACACGCTTCCATACCGCCGTCGGCCCGATTTCGCCGTCCCTTGGGGTTGTTCGACGAACCACCCCAACATCCTCCTCCTCTCGCCACGTGTATTCAGCGCATCGGCGTCGTGGCGACAAGGGCGCGTTTATCGCGAAGGGTTTGGCGAGGGAGGGTTACGGCAGGACGGACTCGGAGCCACGCGGGGGCGAAAAGAACAGTGGAGAGGGTTTTAGGGGTGGCGACGAGCGCAGGGGCCGCGAGGGTTTCAGGAGCGGTAGGAGTGACGCATGGGGACCTGGGGAATGGGGAAATAGACGAGAGAGTTTTCGGGGTGATGAAGGGCGGAGGGGGAAAGATGGTTTTAGGAGGGGCGAGGATGGGTACAGGGGTAGTGACGTGCGTTGGGGAAGAGAGGGGTTTAAAGGAGAGGAGAGGAGAGAGGAAGTGGGTTTTAGGGGAGAGGAGGAGAGGAGAGGGAGAGAGGAGTTTAGAGGGGAGGAGGATAGAATTCGGAGAGAGGAGGGCAGGAGAGGGGGTGTAAGTGCGGGCAGCTATGGTGATCGCCGTGGGAGAGAGGGGTTTAGAAGCGAGGAAGAGAGACGTGGGAGGAAGGGGTTTCAAGGTGAGGACGATAGGAGGAGGGGCGGAAGTGTTGGGGTTTATGAGGAATGGCGCGGGAGAGAAGGGTTTCAGGAAGAGGGTTTTAACAGGGAGGGGTTAAGGCGAGAGAGATTCGCAAGAAGCGAAGGCCGGGGAGGGCGGGAAGGATTCAGGAGAGACGACGGAGACCGCTTAAGGGGAAAGGGCGAGGGGTTTCGGGGACAGAGGGACGGGTTAAAGGGAGAGGATGAGAGGTTTCGGGGAGAGGAGGAGGGGTCTAGGCGACAGGAAGGGTATGGGAAGAGAGAGGGCAGAGGAAGTTATGGAAGAGCGAGCAGGCAGGAAAGGCAAAGCGACTTGAGCAGGTTCAGTGGTTATGGGAGAAAGGAGAGGGCCGGGAGGTGGGAGGGAGCGGAAAGGGAGGGGAGTGTAGAAGGGGCAGAGAGGGAAGGGAGGGGGGACGGTGAGAAGCGATGGGGAGCGGGTACGAGAAGTGTTGGGGAAGCGGAGGGAGGGAATTGGAGGGGGGTAGAGGCGGGGGGAGGAGAGGGACGGGGACGGAGCAGGGAGAGTTTTGGGGCATCTGAGAGGGAGGCGTCTGACACTCGAGGGGCTTCTGCTGCTGGGGACGCAGCAGGACGAGGGGAGACGGATGGGGGAGATTTGGGGGAGAGAGAGTGGGGACGGAGTGAAGGCGGGGCCAAGGAGTGGAAACTGGGGGAGAGGGGAGCGGTGGAGGGGGGAGCAACGGAGAGGCAGAGCGGGAAGGGGCATAGTGAAAACAGGCAGAGGGAAAGTGGTGGCATTGCAGCAGGCGGAGGAGAAGAAGGTGGGGGGAGCAGGGGAAGGGGAGTGGCGGAGGAAGGGGTACAGCAAGGGGGGGCAGAAGGAGGGGAGGGCGGAGTGAGGGGAGTGGCGGAGGTGGTGATGCAGCAAGGGGGAGTGGACGTCATGGGTTGGGATGACGTGTTCTTTGCTGACGTGGGCGTGACGTGGCAGGGCCTGGGGATGCAGGAGGAGGTGGCGGAGGCAATGCAAAGGGCAGGCTTCGAGCGACCATCAGCCATTCAGGTAGGTTGTAAAGTTTGCAGCTTGGGCGTTCGTTTCCGCATGGTCGGATCTGATGCGACCCGTGGCAGGCGGCGGGGGCGATGCGGTTCAAGCGGCCATCAGCCATTCAGGTGGGTAGCGTGGTGAAAAGGGGGGTTCTTGCAGCGTGGCGAAAAGGGGGGTTCTTGCAGTGTGGGGGTTGGAATAAGGTGAGGAGGAGGAGGCGATTAGAAGCGCATCCTTGGAGTGAGCATTGGCCATTTAGGTGAATTCAGGGGGGCTGCAGCTTGGGACGAGGGCTAGTCCCTGCCAAGCTTGAGGGTTTCGGTGTGCGGGCGGCGACAGTTGGTGCCTGAATTCAGTCTGTGGCATGTCTTCTGCTCCTTGCTCGTCCCCTGTATAATATAATTCCACATTGTGTGGAAGCAGATCTTGTTGAAAACCCCCTCGTTTTTGGGCTCGTTCTTTCTCATCCCCTTTATAATCACGCTCGATACTGTGTGCATGACGGGGCTTATACTCAGATACTGGCGAAGCCCCATTGCCCCACCTCGTTTGGTTTCCTGCTCTTTCTTTCTCGTCTCCCTTATACTCGCACTCGATATTGTGTGCAGGCTGGCGCCATTCCGCAGATCTTATCGGGATCAGACGTGGTGGTGGCAGCTGAAACGGGCAGCGGGAAAACGCACGCCTACCTGGCACCCGTGCTGAGTCATGTGCTGACGTGGCGCGAGGAGGAGAGGCAGAGGGAGATGGCAGAGAGGGAAGAGGAGAGGAGGAGTGAGGAGAGTTTGGGAGAGGAGGGAGAGGTGGGAGAGGTGCGGAGGAGGAGGGTGGGAGCGCGCAAGTTTGCTCTGGTGCTGTGCCCCAACGCTGCCCTGTGCCGCCAGGTGGGTGATTGATACGGGGGGAGGGGGGGGGAATGGGGGAAGTGGGGAAGGGGAGTTAGGAGAATCGGTGGGAGGGTGTTTAGGGAAGTAAGTGTAAATCCGCTCTATTGCCCCAATGCTGCTCTGTCCTCTCCGCTCCTTCCCTTCCATGCCATTAATGCCTTATACCCCTTGCCCCATGCCGCACATTCCCTGCCATGCCGCACATTCCCTGCCATGCCTCACATTCTTCCCCATTCCTCCATGCCCTCCGCCTTCCACGTCACACGTGGGTGGAGATGGCATTGTCTCTCCGCTCCTTCACGTCAAGAGTGCCTCACATTCCCTGCCATGCGTCACAATCACGGACATTCCCCGTTCCTTCCCTTCCCCTTGTGCTGCCCGCCACACCACAGGTGATGGAGATGGCCTTGTCTCTCCGCTCGCCAGACAACCGCCCCTTGCTCGCAGTGGAGGCTGTCGTTGGCGGGCAGGTGAGAAAAAAATCTTGAAAGAAATTAAAGAACGCAACAAAAGCTAAGAGAAACACTTCTTGCGGTGTTGACGGTACCCTCTTTGAGTTGTGAGATGACTCGAAACTAGACACCCCAAGAGTTGGCATCTCAGGAATAGACGTCTCGAAGCTTGTGAGTCGACTAGAATTGGGAAACTTAAGATCAAACGCAGCTGTCCGCTCCAAACCACCTCAATGCGCCCTGTTCCACAACCATCTCTTGCCTTGTTGGCATCCCAAACCCCTCCCTTCCCCTCCCCCTTCCCCTCCCCCTTCCCCTTCTCCTCTCCAGGCGTGGCCCTCCACCCCACCGGACGTGGTGGTGGCGACGCCAGCGGCGCTCTTCAACCATCTCTTCGCGTTCGACCCCAAGCAGCGCCGCCGCTCCGCGTTTGTGAGGGACGTGGCGCTGGTGGTGGCGGACGAGGCCGACATGCTGCTCAGCGGGGGGTACGCCAGGATCGTTGGGCGGCTGCTCGGGCTCTTCCGATTGGACGAGAAGGAGCGCTCCGAGGCTGCCAGGCTGGCAGCAGGGTCTGCCAGCGTGGCTCGGGGATTTGGTGCTGGGGAAAGCGAGGAGGAAGGGAGGGGGGAGGATGAGGAGATGCATTGGACTGAGATGGTTCCAGTGGTGGTTCAGGAGCAAGGGGAGGGAGGAGCGCAATCGGCTGTTGCTGCTGCTGCTGCCGGTGATGCCTCGTCTTCAGCTTCTGCTGCCTACCAGGGCAAGAAGAAAGCGGTTGAGGGAGCGGAGGAGGGGGAAGGGTATGGTGAGGCGGATAAAGAGTGGAGTGAGGGGGAGGAGGGGGGCAAGCATGGGGAGGAGAGAGCAGCGGTGCTGGACGCAGCTGTGCGGCTGGGAGAGAGCGAGCGAGCAGCGGGGAGGGGGGGGAAGGTGGTGGTGAGTGTGCGGGAGAGTGCGAGGGAGGAGGGGAGCAGGAGGGCGAAGTGGGGTCGTCGTCGGAGGGAGTATGCGCGGAGCAAGCAGTACGTGTGGGTGGCGGCCACCATGCCGGTGGGCACCAAGAGGAGCGTGGGGGAGGTGCTCGCCAAGCAGTTCCCCGCCGCCGTGTGGGTCAGCGGTGGCCTGCTGCACCGCCACAACCCCTTGTCAGTGCCCATCACCCCACTCCACACCTGCACACCCACACACACCCAAAGGCTGTGTGGTCAGGGGGGGGCTGCCACGAGCTATAAACCCACCTGCCCCTTTCCTCTTCTTCCTCCCAATCCTGCCTCACTTCAGTGTTCGCTAGCTGCCAATCCAACCCTACTCGCCCCTCCCCATTCGCTTCATCGATCCTGCTTTTCCTCCTTCCCTATTCTTCCGAACCCCCACTACCCCTCCCAACCCCTCCCATGTCAGTGTACGGCACGACTGGCATCAGGTGGATGACAGCTCGCGAGCCGCTGCGCTGCTGAGAGCGCTGGCTGGTGGAAATGGTCAGCTGGAGGGAGGAGTGGAGAGCGGTGCAAATGGTGTGCCGAGTGCAGAACAGCATGACAGCATCCAACGGACCATGGTCTTTGCCAACGACGTGGAATCGGTGGACGCCATTGGCCGGCTCCTCCAGCGCCACCTGTCCTCTGCTGCTGCCACGTCAGCAGGAGGAGCCGATGACGTGGCGGTAGGAGGAGCCGCTGACGTGGCAGCAGAAAAGGGTGCTGACGTGGCATGGTGCGCGGTGTACCACAAGGACGTGCCGCTGGACGAGCGGGAGCGCGCACTGAGAAGGTTCCAGGAAGGAGGGGGTGTGCTGGTGTGCACTGATGCTGCTTCAAGGGGAATTGATGTGGAGCATGTGTCTCATGTGGTGCAGGTGAGCATGTGTCTCATGTGGTGCAGGTGAGGGGGAGGAGAGAGAGGGGGGGTTATTGGGAGGGGGGGTGGGTGTGCAAGCGAGTGGAGAAGAGTGGAGGCTGCATGGATGGGCGGCACAGAGAGGAATTGACTTGGTGCACGTGTCACATGTGGTGCGGGTGAGGGAGAAAGAAGGGGGGAGAGGGGGGGGACGCGTTTGGGGGGCGGGGAGGAGGAAGGAAGTGCCGTATATTGCGAGGGCAGGTCAGGTCTTGCTGAATCACATGTCTGTACGATAGTCACCTACCTCGTTCTCACGCCCCACTCTTCGTCCTTTACCTGCACCGCTCTGAACGATGTCTGAATTTCTGTACCACGTGGGCACAATCCACTTCACGCACTTCCCCTCCCTCCTCCCTTCTTCCCTCCTTCTCTCCCCGCATCCCTCCTCCCAGGCGGAGTTCGCCCTCAATGCCGTGGACTTCCTTCACCGCGTGGGCCGCACCGCCAGGGCGGGCAGGCCTGGCCGCGTCACGAGCCTGTACACAGCTGGCAGCGCACCATTGGCCGAGGCCGTGAGGGCGGCGGTGCAGAGGAGGGAGAGCACGGTGAGTGGTGGGGGAGGAAGGGGGGGAGTGTAATGAGCGACGGGGAGGGGTTGAGGGAGGGGTAAGGGGAGATGGGAGGATGTTTGGAGTGTGGTGAAAGGGGAGGGGGAGTGTGGTGGAGAGCGGTGGACGAAGGGAAAGGAAGGGGGAGGGGGAATGGGGATTGTGATGAGTAGTGAAGGGATGGGGGAGGTGATTGGGAGGTGTGGCTTTTTTTTTTTTGTTTGGCTGTGCGTGATGCCATTGTTGGCTGTGCTTGATGCTAGTGTAGGTTTTGTGCTCCTGGAGTGCCCTCTTAGCACTCACTGGCTGTTGATGTGATTTGACTTGATGAGTCCTTCTCCGTTTCTCCTCCTCACTCTCAACAGGAGAGTGCTTTCAGTCGCAAGCGAAGTTTCCGCAAGAAGCTGAAGAAGTATGGAGTAAGGGATTAAATTGAATTCAATTAACTACCGTATCGATATTGTTTGCATACTCAATGAATGAAGACCCGTTTAAAAGTTTTGCAAGTCAATAGCAGGTAGGTATATGTATAAAAACTCCGAAGTTAATAAATGTAGGGTCACTGCACCACGTGAGACAGGGCCAATTCAATAACGAAACATACATTTTTAGCTCTATACTCGCAGCATGTGCTGCGGGGTAGTTTAAGGCCAACCCTAACTTAAAGCGCCTAGGCTAGGGGCATCTACGTACGGTATCTGGGTGACCACGGTACTCTTCCTACCTCCGCCAGAACTTCCCACCCACTTCACAACATTCCTTGTACATATCCGCATGCCCTCAGCCCATGCGGGATCACATGATGTGGAGCTCCGTGTGGGGGAAGCCCGCCTGGGCGCGGTAGGTGAGGAAGAGGTGCTCCAAGGCCGCCACGTACTGCGCATGCACTGATGCCACCTGCATGGGGGGAAAGAGTGTGAAGAGCAGACGAGGGCACATGAACGCACCCACATCACACATTTCAAGTGCACTCATCCTATGCATGCACCCATGCTTGCGCTTGTGCATGCACCCATGCTTGCGCTTGTGCATGCACCCATGCTTGCGCTTGTGCATGCACCCATGCTTGCGCTTGTGCATGCACCCATGCTTGCGCTTGTGCATGCACCCATGCTTGCGCTTGTGCATGCACCCATGCTTGCGCTTGTGCATGCACCCATGCTTGCGCTTGTGCATGCACCCATGCTTGCGCTTGTGCATGCACCCATGCTTGCGCTTGTGCATGCACCCATGCTTGCGCTTGTGCATGCACCCATGCTTGCGCTTGTGCATGCACCCATGCTTGCGCTTGTGCATGCACCCATGCTTGCGCTTGTGCATGCACCCATGCTTGCGCTTGTGCATGCACCCATGCTTGCGCTTGTGCATGCACCCATGCTTGCGCTTGTGCATGCACCCATGCTTGCGCTTGTGCATGCACCCATGCTTGCGCTTGTGCATGCACCCATGCTTGCGCTTGTGCATGCACCCATGCTTGCGCTTGTGCATGCACCCATGCTTGCGCTTGTGCATGCACCCATGCTTGCGCTTGTGCATGCACCCATGCTTGCGCTTGTGCATGCACCCATGCTTGCGCTTGTGCATGCACCCATGCTTGCGCTTGTGCATGCACCCATGCTTGCGCTTGTGCATGCACCCATGCTTGCGCTTGTGCATGCACCCATGCTTGCGCTTGTGCATGCACCCATGCTTGCGCTTGTGCATGCACCCATGCTTGCGCTTGTGCATGCACCCATGCTTGCGCTTGTGCATGCACCCATGCTTGCGCTTGTGCATGCACCCATGCTTGCGCTTGTGCATGCACCCATGCTTGCGCTTGTGCATGCACCCATGCTTGCGCTTGTGCATGCACCCATGCTTGCGCTTGTGCATGCACCCATGCTTGCGCTTGTGCATGCACCCATGCTTGCGCTTGTGCATGCACCCATGCTTGCGCTTGTGCATGCACCCATGCTTGCGCTTGTGCATGCACCCATGCTTGCGCTTGTGCATGCACCCATGCTTGCGCTTGTGCATGCACCCATGCTTGCGCTTGTGCATGCACCCATGCTTGCGCTTGTGCATGCACCCATGCTTGCGCTTGTGCATGCACCCATGCTTGCGCTTGTGCATGCACCCATGCTTGCGCTTGTGCATGCACCCATGCTTGCGCTTGTGCATGCACCCATGCTTGCGCTTGTGCATGCACCCATGCTTGCGCTTGTGCATGCACCCATGCTTGCGCTTGTGCATGCACCCATGCTTGCGCTTGTGCATGCACCCATGCTTGCGCTTGTGCATGCACCCATGCTTGCGCTTGTGCATGCACCCATGCTTGCGCTTGTGCATGCACCCATGCTTGCGCTTGTGCATGCACCCATGCTTGCGCTTGTGCATGCACCCATGCTTGCGCTTGTGCATGCACCCATGCTTGCGCTTGTGCATGCACCCATGCTTGCGCTTGTGCATGCACCCATGCTTGCGCTTGTGCATGCACCCATGCTTGCGCTTGTGCATGCACCCATGCTTGCGCTTGTGCATGCACCCATGCTTGCGCTTGTGCATGCACCCATGCTTGCGCTTGTGCATGCACCCATGCTTGCGCTTGTGCATGCACCCATGCTTGCGCTTGTGCATGCACCCATGCTTGCGCTTGTGCATGCACCCATGCTTGCGCTTGTGCATGCACCCATGCTTGCGCTTGTGCATGCACCCATGCTTGCGCTTGTGCATGCACCAGTGTTTGCACTTGTGGATGGTGGTGGAACATACAGCCTTCAACCGAGTGCGCCACTGGTGTAGTGACCCCCCAAATCGCCACACCGGCCTCACATCAACCGTGCCACTCTTGCCCTTTCCACAGACCTTTCATTCAAGCAGTCTTCCTCACCCGATCAACTTCACTGACAAACTGACCCTTTCTTTGGAAGGGTTGGGGTCAGGTTCGCCGCCCGCAATGGGTTTGCCGAAGACGATGGTCATGGGATTGCGCAGGGGGATGGGCGACCCCCACATGCCCCAGAACACTATCGGCGCAAACCCCAGGCGCCGCGCCACCGCGCCGTACCACGCGCCCCGCGGCTTCCACCAGTGGTATGCCGTGGTCTGGTGGGGGGAGGCGGGCAAGCAGGTGCAGTGGCAAGGAAGAACATGAAGCAGGTGCAGTGGCAAGGGCACATTGAGCAGCACGGGTGATTCACTGCACGTGATTTGCTGCATGCCCCCGCTGTCACACCACGTGGGACAAAAGAAAAATGCAGGGCACAAGAAGGCACCTTGACAAGCGAGGGTGCTGTACTGCTCCAGCACACCGCCTACTACTCCGCCCTTTGCCCTCCGCCCCCCGCCCCCTGCTCCCCCCCCCCCTCCGCCCTGCGGCCTATGGCCGCCCCTGTGAGCACCTGGCCGAAGACGAAGCAGGGCACGACGGGCACACCCTGCTCCAGCGCCAGGCGGATGAAGCCAAAGCGCTTTCGCACAAACGCCACCTGGGGTGGAGGGAGAGAGGGAGGGCGGGAGTGAGTGAGGGAGGGAGTGAATGAGGGAGTGAGGGAGGGAGCAAGCGAGGGAAGCGTGAGGGACTGAGGGCGACGGTAGGGAAAGGGAGGAGAGGAGCATGGTAAATGGAGAGCAAGGGCAGCAGTAGGAGGGGGGAGAGGTGAAGAAGCCAGGCACACGTGGTTGAAGAAGCCAGGCACACGTGGTTGAAGAAGCCAGGCACACGTGGTTGAAGAAGCCAGGCACACGTGGTTGAAGTAGCCACTCAACTCCTCACCCACACATCACCGCTTCCACCCACACATCACCGCTTCCACCCACGCATCACCGCTTCCACCCACACATCACCGCTTCCACCACGTCAAGTCAAACTTCCTTTCCCCCCATATGCAACCCACCCTCCCTCCCAATGCAACCTTCCCCCGGACACGCCACCTCCCCCCTGTGCGTGTGTGCGTGAGGCAGCGCGCACCTCCCGGCCGGGCGCCATGAAGACGCACTCCTGCACGCCGCCCGGGATGATGACCACCGTGCACCCGCGCTTCAGGAGGCGCGTGAGCACGGGGCGCGTGGCGGGCGCCGTGCGCACCCACTGCCAGAACTGGCGCAGCAGCGGCACGCGGAAGAGCGCTGACGTGGCGCCGGTGTAGCCGTGGACGAACATGGGATGCTCCATGAGGGCTGCCAGCCCGATGGGCAGCACTGAGTGCGGCTCCAACCCCACCACTGCCCGGGGGGGGGAGGTAGGGGGGGGAGGGGAGGGGGAAGGGAAGGGAGGCGAACAGGATGGTCAAATCATGGATATGTAGGGGGCTGGGAGAGGGAAGGGGGAAGCGAGGGTTAAGCATGTGGGAATGGTATGTATGCAAGAGGTTGCTTCTTGTCCCGAGTGTGTTAATTGTGAGCAGCCGGGCCGGGGTGCATGGGGACTGACTGCGAACATCTTCCGAATACCCAGGCACTTGGGGGACCAACGCAAATGCGGCAACTGTTTGACCGTTGCACGAGTGCTGCACATGACGAGCTCAGTTCAACTCAGAAGCTCAATCGAATATACAATGCACGTCCGCCACACCGTAGGGTTTGCCGAAGGTGATGGCTGATTGGTCGAGGAAGAGCACGCGCACGGGGAAGTGCCGCAGCACCACCGGGTAGATGAACCTGCCATCGGGGCACACAGCATGGCGCACACAGCATGGCGCACGGCGGGGACGACACAGCGAGTGAGAAGGCACACAGAATGCGACAATCCTCGGACACGTTTTCGCGGGCATGGGTGTGTGCAGGCACGGTTGAGAGCGGTGAGGAGGAAGAAAGTGGAATTCGGACACAATTGGAGGTTCGGAGTCCGCGGCGTAGCGAAGGGAAAGCGAGCGAATGCGAGGCGGCTGACCTCCGGTACGCCTTGGCGAGCGGCCCCTCGACGTCGACGGGCGTGACGGAGAGCGTGGCGAGCAGCAGCAGCAGCGCGAGGGCGATGGGGTGCGGGAAGGTGAGCACGATGACGAGGAGGGTGGCGAGCAGGATGTGCAGCCACCCCATCCACATCACCA